GAAAGCTTTACCTTATCCATAGGAATAAGGCTGGGTTTACTCAGATGATGCAGCTCCTTCCCCATCCTATTTTGAGAGCCTTCTAACCTAACCGGACTATTCGTAAAGTTGTGTGGTAATGTATCAAACAGTGTTTCTTTGCTATTCATAACGTTTTCCCTGGCCAATTCTCTGAGAAGTGGACGGCCTCTTCCTTCTTTCTAATCTGTCTCAATCTGTAAACTGGGTTGATACCTGTGCACCATGTGCATCCTGCTGGGTTTGAAACACTAGTGGCTCAGCCTCAAAACTCACATCAATACGTCACCACAGTAAGACAAACCAACAGACAAGTTTGTCTCCCTGTTGGAAACCTCTCGTACCACCCTTACCTGGGTCCCTTCAGCTGGCTCCTTCTCTGTCCAGATTCCTGGGCCTTTTATAATTCCCTTTCTCCTGCTCTCCTGCCCTGCTGCTTTGGGTGTGCCTGAGTTCCCTCTCCTCACCCAGATCCCTGCGCTGACTAGCTATATTTCTTAATAAGCCAAAAAAAACCCCAAACTCACTGCCATTGAGTTGACTGCGACTCATAGCAACCCCTCCTTGGGTTTCTGAGGCAATATCTCTACGGAAGTAGACTGCCCAATCTTCCTCCCAAAGAGTGGCTGGTGGGTTTGAACCGCCAGCTTTCTGGTTAGCAGTCAAATGCCTTAGGCACTACGTCACCAGAGGTCCCATATTTCTTAGTATATGTATTAATAGAAAATAATTATTAAAATATATATATTTATGAGTCACATAAAATCAATTCATATACCACCACTACCAGCCATTCCTTGGAAGGAAGATGGGGCAATCTATTTCCATAGTGATACTGCCTCGGAAACCCAGAGGGGTCGCTATGAGCGAGGTCCAACTTGATGGCACATAACAACAACAGGCATGTAGTCCCCAGTCAGGAAATAATGAACTGGAGAACCCAGCTGGTGGTGGAAGCAAAAACTGAAAAATTAGAGGCCATAATAAGCTGTGTATGAGTTAGGCAGGGAAAACTGGTAACAGAGAGGAGGATGGACCCCATGAGAAGGAAATAGACATATCACAGAGGACAGGGCAGGCTGAAAGAGACAGACACATGCGTATACAGAGATGAGGACACAGAAATGGAGACAGAATAGAGACAAAGAGAAAGAGAGACACACAAAGAGAGAAGATATGCTCATAAGCAGAGCTGCAGAGCCATATGCAGAGAGATGGGGGACACTCTACTTCCAGCCTGTGCAGCGAACCTTCTTTTTTTCATAGGGCATTGCCACTGGTCTTTGTTCTCTGCAGCCACAGGACTGCAGGATATACACAAGCAGCTCCCCATGCTCCAGTTGGAATGCCTGGCACAGGGGCTCCAAGACTCCAGACTTCAGGCATTCACTTACCTTAATTTCTACGGGGTCGTTTTGGTGAAAGTTGATTGGAGCAACCCCAGGGACATAAAAGGCTCTCAATTCACATATGAGAGAGAGAAGCAGCAGCGACCATGACAACCAATCCTGCTTGGAAGAAGAGAGGCACAGTTTGAAGGTGGGGAAGGATGTGACCACCACCCTGGGGCAGATAAAGTCCACCACCTTTATGTCTGCTTTACCTGACCCAAAGTCATCTTCCCTCTGAGAAGCCTGGGGCACACCTGTAACTGCTGCCTCACAAATGCCCCCCACAGGGCTCCAAGGCACCATGCTGCCTTTCAGAAACGAGCCACAAAATGACTCAGGTAATTAACGCCAGGGCCAAAACCAAGACTGTGCTACAGGAGCCACGGCTCCCTGCTTCCAGATCAGTGTTCTTCTAACCAGTTCATCTTGCATCGCTCTCCAACATCCACCACTACCAGCAGTCAAGTCGACTCCAACTCTTGGAGATCCCATGTGGGTCAGAGTAGAACCACAATCCACAGGGTTTTCAATGACTGATTTTTCTGAAGTAGATCATCAGGCCTTTTCTCCAAGGCATCTCTGAGTGGGATTCAAACCTCCAACTTTTCGGTGAAATGGTGTTTGTGTCACCCAGGGACTCCCTCTACAATACAGTTAAAACTCAAACTCAGTGTCATCAAGTCGGATCCGACTCATAGTGACCCTTGGGTTTCTGAGGCAGTATCACTACGAGAGTAGATTGCCCAACCTTCCTTCTGAGGGGTGGCTGGTGGGTTTGAACTGCCAGCCTTCTGGTTAACAGTCAAATGCCTTAGGCACCATGCTACCAGAGCTCCCATAATAGTTAGGAGGAACTAAAGCACCACAATGTTCTTGTTTCCACTTATAGCAACAGGCGTGCTTTGTCAGGAAGCTCCTATTTTACCAACAAAGTTTCCTGTAAGCCTTCTCCAAAACTGTACTGACCTCTTGACCTGCTCTTCTCCATTTCCCTGCTCACTTGCTCTGGCCACACCGGCCACCTTGCTGTAGAGTCATCATAGCAAGTCCTTCCCCACTTCTCAGGGACTTTGCCTTCACTGTGCACTCTGCCAGAATGAATGCCTTTCCCACACATGACCGCAGGGCTCATCTCACCCCTTATTTCATCCGGGTCTCTCTCAAATGTCTCCTCAGAGAAGCCTCCATGGACCATCTTATTCAAACAGCACCCTCAGGGTCCCCAGGACCCATTTCTCTATTCCTTACTCTGCTTTATTTCTCTTCATGGGCTTACTAGTTGACATGTCCGATATGTATTTGTTTGTGTATTATCTGCTCCCTTCACTTGAATGTAAACTGTGGGAGCAGGGACTGTATCCTCAATGCTACAGTGCCTGCACAGAGTAGGCCCTCAGTAAATATCTGCATGCAGGAAAGTCACCTAGGAATCAAAGGCAAAAAAGATCAATTTCTGGCCTCAAAAAATCACCCCATAATGCTGGTCAAAGCATTGCTTTCCCTTCAGCAGTAGTAACAGCTGTTGAGCCCCTCAAGGGGGCTGCCTGATTGTCCTCCCTCTGCCTGGTCTCCCCAAGGACTTCTGTGTCCACGTACCTGAATCACCAACTCAACCGTGTGCCTGCATCTGCCTCCTCTCTGCACCCCCTTTACTGCGGTGCATTTCAGACCCTCATTTCCTCCCCCTAGATAAAGGCCACAGCCTCCCCCTGGCTGGATCACCTTGCCTCTGAAACCCCTCCACCCACCAAGCTGATAATACAGGCTCTCTCTCTCCCTGAGTCTTTCTGAAATTCCATTGTATAGGGCATCAGAAAGGCCGAGGGGGCCTGCCTTTTTACATGGACCACAATTTGAGAAAAATGGCTTTAAAGCTTAAAGTTCTGAGCTCAATGCACTTTACGTTGACAGAGCACTTGGTCAAAGTCTGTAAAGCGATACTCTGAGTGCTTCCCAGCCCCACCCTCCACTTGCCGTGAACTTTCCTAAGCAGCTGCCAGCTGATGTGAACACAGTTATGATGTTCATTATAAAACATGAAATCAGAGCTTGACCCCAATGAAAATAGTGCAAAACGGCTAAGACCACTGTATAGTATTTGGCAATCAGGAGCGCAGCTGAATTAGGGGTAAAAGCAGGGTGATCTGTAGAAGAAATGACAAGGCTAAAAGACAGAAAACCGCTGCAGGGGGCAGGACATGGTATAGGAAGAGAATATGGATTTCTTTCCTTTTTTTAAATTTTTTATTTTTGAAATAAATTTACATTTACAGAAGTTACAAAGATAGTACAGAGTCTCTATATATCCATCCCGCAGCCTCTCCTGATGTTAACATCTTACATAACCATGAGCAAGTAAGGTTTTTTTAAAAAAATAAAATCAGGATTTTTTTTTCTGTCATTATATTTCTGTTCTATAAAGCACAATGATCTATCGATTTTTTTAGTTACTTCTCTTAAAATCTCCCATCGTGACTGTGAATATCAGGTTCTATTAGGTTTGCTATATATATTTCAAAAGTTTTTCTTTAAATTTATTTTGTTGTTGAAAATATACATAGGTGAACATAACCAATTCCACAGTTTCTACAAGTACAATTTAGTAACAGTGATTACATTCTTCAAGTTGTACAACCATTTTCCCACCCTCCTTTTCTGAGTTGTTCCTCTCCCATTAACATAAACTCCAAAAAAAGAAACCAACACCAAACTCACCACTGTAGAGTCAATCCTGACTCATAGTGACCCCTCCTTGGGTTTCTGAAGGGGTATTTCTACGGAAGTAGATTGGCCAATCTTCCTTCTGAAGAGTGCTTCATGGGTTTGAACCGCCAGCCTTCTGGTTAGCAGTCAAATGCCTTAGGCACTATGCTACCAGAACTCCCAACATAAGCTCACTGCCCCCTAATTGTTCCTATCTTATCTTTTGAGTTGTGAGGTTGCAGGTGAGGAAGCCTTTTTAAAAATAACCAGCTTCAGAACATTTACATTAGGTAGATACACTCCTTGGAGAGAACAATCATGGGAGAAGGAAGGGCTGCGTATGCACAGGGAGACAGCTCAGGAGGCAGGAGTACATGGCGGGGAAGGGCACAGGGAAGAGGTTAACTATGGGGAGGAAGTGAGAGGGGAGCTGTTGCATTGTGGGAAATTGCAGTCAATGTCATGAGTCAAAGTGTATGGGCTGCTGTATGGAAAGTGAATTTGCTCAAGTGAAATATACACAGTAATTCAATAGTACAAATGAGTTGTTGTTAGGCGCTATCAAGTCGGTTCCAGCTTGTAGCAGTAACTCTATGTACAACAGAAGAAACACTGCCTGGTCCTATACCACACTCACAATCTTTTCTATGCTTGAGCCCATATGGGTATATCCTGAAAAATAAATTTCCTTTCCCCTCTAGCTCCCCACGATCGCTACTTTGGAAATCCCACAAGAGACATTCCATGCATGTACAAAAGGAAGGGTTTATTATTACAGGTCGGCCTACAATACAACAATGACAAACAGAGTTTGATTCTTTCTTCCTGAGTCATGATGGAAAGCCTGCTGGCTATGGGCTGGCTACAGCATGGTTTCCTCTCCATCAGAGGATTTCCTCCCTTGGACCAGGCATCTGGAGACTCTGACCCTCCCTCTCTGGAGCCCTCTGCTAGCCTGCATCTGTCAGTCCTCAGAATGGGACTGCTTCACATGGAAGAAATCAATCCTGTCCTCTTTTTCCCTCTTGTTCCTCTTAGTACCTGAATTCCAACTAACCAAAATATAAGAAAGAGAAGCCCTGTTGTTACTAGCATAAACTGCCATTCAAAAACTGTTTCGAATTTTTGAAAAACTAGGAGAAAATGGACATCCTCAACAAAAAATACTATCAGCCAATCGTCAATCAATTAATCTTAGAAAGATAAAGTACTGAAAAATGGCAAAGAATATTTCCATAATACGCTAGAATCTTTGAACATAACTGGTAATATTTAAGTTGGCCACCACAGGCAATTCAGAAGTTTAGCTGAAAACTAACAACTGCACCAAGATGACACTGTTAGTTTTGGATACTAAAATATCACTGTTTTCATATAGCTGGAGACTGAAAACTAAAACAACACTTTGGGGCAGCGGGGGTGGCGTGCAGCTTGGCACTCTATATCAAAAGCCCCCTCAAAGTACACAATCTGACCCTGTAATTGCACTTCAAGACATGTTAAGAGAAATATAACAAGTATACCAAAAATATACAAAAGAAAATGTTTCACCATGGCGTTACTTAAAATAGTGAAATAATTCATTCACTACTTGCAGTGTAGTAAATTACCTGGTATGGCTTTTCTAGCCATAAGTCTTTGTGAACTCCTTGGTGGAATTTGCCCTGAGCAACTGAGTGGCTCCTGATCATTAAAGTTGTCCACCTGGGGTATTTCTGTTGGGAGTGGCACAAAGCAATGTTCTAGGAGGTTCGCACTCTCTCTCAGGTGGTTACAATCTGATGTTATGATTGGTTGGTTTGGCCACTCTGCCGGGCTCAAAAGGAGGCCTCCTAGAGGCAGATCTCTCTGTGACTACTGGCTGAGAAGGACATGCTGCTGTGAAGAAACACGTTCCTGAGAGAGACATGCTCCCGAGAGACATGCTCCCGAGAGACACACACTGCTGGGAAAGAGACGCAAGAGACACACATTGCTGAGAGAGACACCGAGGGACATGCAATGCTGGGAGAGAGACTGTGAGAGATTGTTGGGTGAGAGACAGCAGGCTGAGAGAGACAGAGCGTTTTTCCTGAACTTGAATTATAACCTGGTGCTTCCCTAATAAACCCCATAATCTGTGAGTTCTGGGTGGCCACTGCAGCAAATTATCGAACTCAGCAGAGAGGTGGCGAATGCTGCAAAAGGAACGGTTGGTTGGTGAAAGGGCTGGAGGGAGGCAGCATGTTTGGCCTCGCAGGAATAGGCCTTGGGCCAATGATGGTGATTCTGTCTTCCTCTTGTGCGGTTAGAGGAGGTCAGAAGATGTGGTCTCCTTGCCCCTGTAGCACTACTTAAATAGTAAAATGTCCAGTATTAGGCGAATGGGTTAAATTATGGTATATCCATTTAGTCACTGATGTGGTTATTAAAAA